TGTTGCTGTGGAGCTTGAAACAGTTCTGCTAAAAGAGGTGTAGACCATGGAGGCCTGGCTTGTGAAGTTTCAAAAGGAACGAAAGATTATCAGGACTGTTTGTGTGATGTTTTGAATTGATAAACTATGGTTTCTGGTAGGCTGGGGCTGAAGAATCAGCTGTGACTAAGAAGAGACCATAATCACTAACATGAAATCTCTGTTTTACGGGGACAATTGATGCTAGTTAGCTGGGGCTGAAAAATCAGCTGCGGGTTAGAGACCAGCATCACTGTTGTAAAATCTTCTGGGAAGTATTTCCTCAGGGTCAGAAGCTATGGTCTAGTAGGGGTCTGAGCCTCCATCTGAAGCTAGAAGCAGGGATTGGTAATATGTAAGAGTCTCCTGAATGGTTCTGGTATTGAAAGCATGAAGGAGGTCACAGAGAGCAGCTGAGGCTTTGGCACCCTGAGAAGCCAGGAAAGGCCACTGGTGAAAATGTAGCCTCAGTTGCAGTGAAGACCCCCAGGATTGAAGGGGTAATAGAAAGAATCTGAGGCTTTGCACCCTGGGAGGCCTGAAGAGCTCATTGGTGAAAGTACAGCCTCAGTTTCAGTAGAGACCCCAGCATACTGGAGGTGATGGGACATGGGACAACCACCAAGGGCAGCAGTCTGGAGTAAAGCTGTCCTGAGCCTACCAAACAAGCTGTGTGTACTGTAGATGGCAGACTCGGAGAGGTGGAGCTGCCCAAGCCCTCTGGAGCCTAGATGATCGTAAGTGAATCCCAGATGTCCAGCCTTGAGCTACTTTGCTGGACTTTGATTTTGCTTAAGTGTGCCCAATTCTTCCCTTTTGAAATAAAATAATATTTGTTTTTGATTTTGTAGGGGCCCACAGTTGAGAGACTTTAAAAGAGACTTTGAACTTTTAAAATGTTTAAGTTTTTTAAGGACTATGGAACTTTTAAAGTTGTACTGTTCTATGTTGTGATATAAATATTCACATCATACCTTGGGGATAAGAAATGGGAAGGTTGTGGCTTAATAGTGATGAATTTGTGTATCAAGTTGTCAACAAGTCAATTGTGCTGGATAGCTTTAGTTGTCAACTTGACACACCTGGGTAGAGGGAACCTCAATTGGGGAATTTCCTCCATTGGACTGGCCTATGCCCATGTCTGCAGGGCATTTTCTTGATTGTTGAGTGGTGTGGGAGAGCCTAGCCCACTGCAGGCAGTGCCACCCCCAGGGAGGTGTCCCATACTGTCTAAGAAAGCAGGATGGGCACAGGCCAAAGGAGCAAGCCAGTAATCAGTATTCCTCCAAGGCCTGTGTTTCAGCTCCTGCCTTCAGGTTCCTGCCCTGAATTCCTACCTTGAGCTCCCTCAGTGTTGAACTGTGACCCAGGAGGTATAGGCTAAATAAACCCTTTCCTCCCCAAGTTGGTATTGGTCAGAGTGTTTTGTCACAGCAATTGAAGACAAACTAAGACACTGACCAAAGCCAACTTGGGGAGAGTTTATTACAGCTTACACTTCGAAGTGATAGTCCATCTTTGAGGTAAGTCAGACAGGAACTCAAGGCAGGAACTTGGAGGTAGGAGCTGAAGTACAGACCATGGAGGAACACTGCTTACTCGCTTTTTCCTTTGGCTTGTTCCTATATTGCTTTCTTATACAAGACAGGACAACCTGCCCAGGGGTGGCACTGCCCACAGTGGGCTGGGCCCTCCCACATCACTCAACAATCAAGAAAATGCCTCACAGACATGGCCACAGGCCAATCCAATAGAGGAAATTCCCCAATTGAGGTTCCCTCTTCCCAGGACTATCAAGCTGACAAAATTGATACTAAGAAGAGGGGCCACTACTATGATAAATCTGTGTGGTTCTCAGGACTTTGGAAATAGTTTGTGGAAGGAATGTGGAAGAGTTTGGACCTCTGGGCTAAAAGACCCTAGAATACTATAAGGAGAGTTTAATGGGACACTCCTGAGAATTTGGAAGATCAGAACACTGACAGAAATGTGGACAGTAGAAGCCAAGCTCATGAAGTTTTAGAAGGGAAAAAGGATTCTCCTGGGACTGGGCTACACAGGTCATTCTTGTTATATGGTCTGGCAAAGAATCTGGCTGCATTCCACTCGTGTTCTGAGAACTTGAGTAAGACTGAATTCAGAAGTACAGATTAATTTGTTTGGTAGAGGAAATCTGAAAACAGGAATGCATTCAGGCTGTGTCATGATTACTGTTCACTAGACTTATTAAAGTGTACAATGAGAAAAAGTTAACAAGTGGAGCAAAATGATTTTAAAAATATGTTGTGGGGCGAGGCGATGGCTCAGTCAGTAAAGTACAAGCATAAGAGCCAGAGATTGGATCTTCAGCACCCACACCAAAAAGTCAGGTGCAAAGGAGATAAGGTGGAAAAATGATTGAAGAGAGAACCTAACCTCTGGCTTCAACCCACCCACCCCTACACTTACACTTACACACACACACACACACACACACACACACAAAGTGTCATGTGAAGAGTAAAGAATAGAGTTTAAAGTTGCAGATGTAGATACTGAGAAAGCAGCTATAATCTTTAAGGAGAACCTCCTTCTCTGCACTAGGACAATAGAAAAGATATCCTGAGGGCAAGACCCCAGCCATCAAGGGCTCCATCTTGTGAAAAACTAGATTCATTTGAAAGGAGAGAGCCTAAACTGGGCATGCCACTGAAAGTAGTTCCCTCCTCAAAAACAACCACCTAGGCACACTGCAGTCACTACAACTTTGGTCCAAAGGGGGGCCAGGCTACATCTCAAGGTGGCAGCAGAACTTAGCAGCAGCATTGATGTGGTACTGGTTTTTCAGGTAAGAAAGATACAAGGGCAAGGGGATCATGGTGTCTTATAGTAAAGTTCCAGAAGAGCAGTGAGGCTAGACTCATTGCAAGAAGACCTTGACTGGCCATTACATGAAGCTATGTTAATGAAGCCGAAGTTGCAACTGAGATCCCAGGATATTAGAAATGTTAGGACCAGGGGACATCAGCCAAAAAAAAAAAAAAAAGTGCTGTTGGACAAGAGTGGAGCCAGCCCGAGAAAGAGGCTGTGTATGCGACACAAGGCAGAGGGTGGAGAGAAGCTACCTAAGCCCTTTGGAGTCAAAATGATTCCATTATAAACCACAAATGCCAGACAGGGAGTTTCAGGATTTGACATTTGCCCTGCTGGGTTATGCTTTAGTCTGATCTTTCCTTGCTATGCCCCCATTCCTCCCTTTTGGAGTAGAATTATTTTTTCATTATATATTATAACTGTGCAACCTTTTTAAGATTTATTTTTATTTTATGTGTATAAATATTTTGCCTGCATATATGTATATGTATCATGTGTGTGCCTGGTGCCCACAGTGACCAAAAGAAGGCATCAGAACCCCTGAAACTGAAGTTACATGCGGTTGTAGGCCACTATGTGGGTGCTGGGAACCAAACCTAGGTCTTCTACAAAAGCAACAAGTATGCTTAACCATAACCTCTGAACCATCTCTCAAGTCCTGCTGGTTGGTTGGTTGGTTGGTTGGTTGGTTGGTTGGTTGGTTTTAACACAAACTTAAAAGATTGCCTTGAATTTCAGAACAGACTTTGGACTTTTGAACAGTGTTGTGACTGATTAAAGACTATGGGGACTTTAAGAGATAGACTAAATTAATTTTGCATTATGAGATGAAAATGAAAGTTTAGGGACCATGACTGGAATGTTGTGATTTAAAGTGATATGTTTGGGTGTGAAGTTGACAAAGGGTGGGGTTGTGATGGTTAATCTTCACTGTCAACTTTATTAAATTTAGACCATGGAAACATACCTCTGAGTGTGCCTATGAAAGTGTTCCCAGAAGATTTCACTGAAAAGAAAACACAGGCAGCACCATTCTGTGGGCTCGAATCACAGACTGAATAAAAAGGGAAAAGCAGTGGAACACCCCACAGTGATCTGTCTCTGCTGACCATGGATGCACTGTGACCACCATAACTTGCCCACCTTGATGGATATATCCTAAACTGTGAGTCAAAATAAACCATTCCTCCCTTGTTCCGCCTGGTCAGGTATTTGGTCACAGCAACAAAGCAAGTAACTAATACAATAGTTCTGCCTAAATACTTCTCCCTCTTTGAGGGCTTTGTCGTCTCCTACAATCCTTACTGGATTTGTTTATTTGGAATTTTTTTTGCCAAGAATAACTAGGCTAAAAGTAAAGGCCTGGGAGTTCACCTAGAAGTCAGGGGTACATGAACTTTATGCCATCTATTTTTTGTGTTCAGGATTCCATTTTGCTTACTTCCTGGTTTACATATGAGATTGCTTGAAACTGAATCTAAAGAAATAAGGTATAACTTTATTTGCTGAATAACTTTATATGCTTCAGGATGTTAAAATAAGCACATAACCCAGGAGAATATCAAAATACTCATCAAATTAGGGGGAAAAAAAGGAGTTCTACATTGTATATATTTGTGGGTTTGGGGTTTTTTTGTTTTGTTTTTTTGTCTTTTTGAGACAGGGTCTCCCCATAGCCCCAGCTGTCCTGGAACTCACTATACAGAGATCCACCTGCCTCCACTTCCCGAATGCTGGGATTAAAGACATACGCCACCACGCCCGGCTATATATTTGCTTTTTTAAAAGTTTATTTGTGTGTTTTCTGGGACAATGTCTCATTGTGCAGCCAGAGCTGACCTGGAACTTGCTTTATAGACCAGGCTGGACTTGAATTCACAGAGACCTGCCTGCCTCTGCCCCGAATGCTACGATAAACCACCATGCCCGGGTTTCAGTATAATATATTTGAGTCTCTAAGCAATGTTCATGATGTTATTCAGCTCTTTCTTCAAGTGACTCTTATTTGCATGTGCATTAATATTCCATTCATAATAAAGTATTACATTCATTCTCAAATAATTATCAGTGACTTAAGATAATACATATACATATTTGGACATATACAATGTTTAAATCATGATACTTACTATATTTCATGTTGTTCCAAGCAGATATAAATTTAGTTTTTAGCTTGTCAACTTCATCTGTTCCTGTGGCCTCCATATTCAAATTCTAATGAAAAAGCCATCACTCGATAGCATTCCTTTGTAAAATTCAATGTACTAAAAGAGAACAAAATAAGGAAATACATAATCAGCATATATTATATGGTATCATACTGCTAATGTTATTTAAATGATTAAATATATTTAAACTGAAAATAGACAAAACAGGGTTGAGGATATAGTTCAGTTGGTAGAGTACTTGCCTAGCATGCACAAAGCGCTGGGTTCAATCAGCACCACGTAAAGTGGGTATGGTGGCCCATGCCTATAATCCCAGCATTACAGAGGTAGAGGCAAGATCAGAAGTTCAAGTCATCCTAAGGAACATTGCATTCAAATTTGAGATCAGCCTGAGCTACACCGGTTATCTCAAAAAAAAAAAACACATTGTTTCCATTTTATAGGGAGGGCTTTTCTAGACTATGATATGCTGTAAAAATTTAACTATATAAAACATTCAATATAAAGTATATAAAACAAAACGATCACATGAAACAAAACAATAATATCTCCCAATCACTCACAACCAAATACAATAAATCAACTAAAAATACAGCTTGGCTTTTGTTGCTTGTAAGAATATCAAAGACTTTTTTTATTTGTAATTAGAGGTAATCTGGAATCTTAATAAAAGATTTATTCTCTTCAGAATGGAAATTTCCACTTATATTAAATCTTGCTGTCATATAAATGTTTTAAAACATATTTTTTAAAATTGTTTTCTACATTTTCTTCCTGTCTCAATACTGAAGCAATAAAAAATAAATAAATAAGACAGAATTAAGCTGGGCATGGTAGTGCACACCATTACTCCCAGCACTCAAGTGGCAGAGGCAGGCAGATCTCTACTGAGATCAGCCTGGTCTACATAAGGAGTTCCAGGCAGGCTGGGAGTACAGGGAGATCCTGTATCAAATGTAAATAAATAAGAAAGAATAAATATAACTTATTGAATAGTATGTGTTTTATAACTTGCCATGCAAGAAAATTGAGATGTGTTATACAATCTGAAAAATGAACAAATTACAACAGAAAATGTTTGTGTTCATTTGCAATAATTCACAACTTAGTACTCAAGAAAAGAATGCTACACAGAACATTACTCTTTTACAGTTATACTTGTCTACTCAAAATACTCATACACTTATATCTTCAACAATAATTCTATTTTACAGTATGTATTAAAAGCTACTAATTACAGGGCTGGAGAGATGGCTCAGTGGTTAAGAGCACTCACTGACTGCTCTTGCAGAGGACCTGGGTTCAATTCTCAGCACCCACATGGCGGCTGAGAACCGTCCTTAACTCCAGTTCCAGGGGAATCCGAAGCCCTCTTCTGACCTCCGTGGCATTGCACAACATGGGTGCACTCACATGCAGGCAATATACTCACAAACATAATAAAAATAATAAATAAAATATTTTTAAAAGCTACTAATTACATATCATAGGTCTAAGACAGGAGAAACATGATCTGCTGAAAGAATTTTTAAAGAAATGTGTCCACAGTATAGGAAATCTAAAACTGTGGCACAGGACGAAACTAAGGAGTTATACAAGGGATGGGAACACACAGGGCCTGAAGACCAAGTTAAGAATTTTTTTCTCAGGGCTGGAGGGATGGCTTAGCAATTAGGAGCACTGGCTGCTCTTGCAGAGGACCCGAGTTCGATTCCCAGCACCCACATGGTGGCTAACAACCACTTATAACTCCAGTTCCAGGGAATCCAACAGGCTCTTCTGATCTCCACAGGCACTGCACAACACTGGTGCACTTACACACATGCAGGCAATACACTCACACACATAAAATAAAAATAAAATATTTTTTAGAAAAGAATGTTGTTCTCTGTCCTAAGAACAACTCGTTTCATTAGAATCAGAGTCTGTGGGTTTGGTTTTTAACTTTAACAGCAGCTTAGAGAATTGATTGGGAAAGGATAGGTGGACATTTATAAAAATAGATGCATAAGGAAATTTGTCAAATTTCAGTAAGTCTTGGTGACTTCATGTCATTAGAAATAATCTTTTCTTCCCAAATAAAGTAGAAGAAATATGATCAGAGTATGAAGGGAAAAATTATAGTTGAACGTGGCAATTTTTTAAGTAAAAATATTTTTTAAATTTTATTTATTTTTATTTTATGTGTATGAATGTATTGCTGCATGTAGGTAAGTGCACTCGTGTTGTGCAATGCCTGCAGAGGTCTGAAGAGGCTGTCAGATCCCCTGGGACTGGAGTTACAGACAGTTGTTAGCTGCCATGTGGGTGCTGGGATTCAAACCCAGGTCTTCTGCAAGAACCAGTGTTCTTAACTGCTGAGCCATCTCTCCAGTCCCTAAGTAAAAATATTTTTAAATGAGTTTCCTTCTTTAAAAATCAGGGAGTTAGCCTTAAAATGATATTGCTGCTGGATGAAGTGGCACAGGTCTTTAATCCCATCACTCAGGAGGCAGAAGCAGGTGGCTCTCTGTGAGTTTGAGGCCAGCCTGGTCTACATTGTGATTTCCAGGCCAACCAGGGCTACATAATGAGACCATATCTGGAGAAAAAAAATGTTACTACTATAGCTGAGGGCTGAACAGATGGCTCCAAGGTTAAGAGCATTGGCTGCTCTTGCAGAAGACCTGGTTCAATTCCCAGCATCCACATGGCAGCTAATAATCTTCAGAAACTCCAGTTCCAGGGGCATCTGATGCCTTCCTCTGGCCTCCTCAGGCACTGCACACACAGATACACTTCCATACATGGAGGCAAAACACTCATACACATTTTTTTAAAAAACTAATTAATCAAAACTTTATTTAGAGGACTGGAGAGATGGCTCAGTGGTTAAGAGCACCACTAGGTTGAAGTCCCAGAACCCACATGGTGGCTAACAACCATCTATAACTCCAGTTCCAGAGGATCTGACCCCATCTTCTGACCTCCACAGGCATTGCACAACATGGATACACTTACACGCATGCAGGCATAACACTTATACACATAAAATAAAAATAATAAAATACTTTGAAACTAACTGAACAAACAAGTCAAATAAGTTTGCTTTCATATGCAAAAATAGTTCTAATTTTTAACTTTAACATTTCCTAATCACACCATCTCAAAAATCTACTACTACAATTCTAGAAGTCCTTGATTTGGTGAATATCTCAAAGGACATAACTTACTATAGGGTGAGCTCCTGTGTGAGCTGAGGCTTATTATTCTTTTTTCTTTATTATTTTAATTTTATGTGTATGAGCGTATTGCCTACATGCTTGCCTGCAGAGGTCAGAAGGGAGTGTTGGATCTCCCTGGAATGGCAGTTACAGACAGTTATTAGCCACCATGTGGGTGCTGCAAACTGAACCCAGGTCTTCTGCAAGAACAGCCAGTGCCTTTAACCACTGAGTCCTTTCTTCAGCCCCATGATTATTTTCCTTTCTTTTTTTTTGAGGGGGGGTACCTTTTTGAGACAGGGTCTTTCTATAGCCCCAGCTGGCCTGGAACTCACTATGTAGACCAGGATGACCTCAAACTCAGAGAGATCCTCCTGCCTCTGGCTCCCAAGTGCTGGGATTAAAGGCATGCACCACCACACCCAGCTGATTATTTTTCTTAAAATAGCCCAGTCTCGGGGAAGGCCTTTCACCATGACTCCCACTTGAGGAGCTTCCCCAAAGCCAGAAGCTTTCATCTTGGTATAACTGAGATCAGACCATTGGTGCCCTTCAGGAGGTTTTATCGTCAGGCACCTACCCAGAAAGTAAGAGCTGATGGAGACACTGAAATTCAGCCTTTTATTGTCATCATTCCTCCAGACCCATGACAGTACAAAATTTCTAAATAGTGCACACATCTAGAAAGATGATAATGCTGAGAGAGCTGGAGAGATGGCTCAGCCGTTAAGAGCCCTGGCTGCTCTTGCAGAAGACCTGGGTTCAGCTCCCAGTACTCACATGGCTGCTAATAACAGTCTGTAACTCCAGTTCCAAAAGAATCTGTCACCCACTTCTGACCCTCACTGCATGCATCATGGGTACACTTATAAGCATGCAGGTAAGACATTCATACATAAAATATAAATCAATCAAAAAAATTTTAAAGAATAATAATAATGCTGAGACTTTGTTCTCCCTTTTCTCCTAAAGATTTTTATTTTTATTTAAGTGTATGTATATGTGTCTGTGAAAGTATATGCCACATGTGTGGGAGTGCACATGGAGAGGAGAAGAGGGCATCAGATCTCCTGGAACTGGAATTACAGGCAGTTGTGCGCTGCCCAACATGGGTGCTGGGAACCAAAACAGGTTCTCGGGAAGAACAGCAAATGCTCTTAGCCTATGAGTCACTTCTCCAGTCCCTTATTTTCCCTTTTTAAGGTAATTCTATAATTATATTTCTCAAAGGCATCAGAATTAGCTACTTAGTCGTGTAGAAACTTAACTTCCTTAATTCCTCAGGGCAGCTTTGGCTAAATAAAATTACTTAGAAGATATCTTTTGTTAATTCACTAATTTAGTTTCACCTTAAAATAAGTGTGGGCAGAACCAGTGAGATGGCTCAGTCAGTAGAAGCACTTGCCAAGCAAACCAGATGAGCTGCATTTGATCCACTGACCCCAGGATGGAAGTGGAAAACCAAACAAGTAGTCTTCTGACCTCTAGACATACACATACACATACACATCATGGCAGATGCACCTGCACTCTCAACACATGCAATAAATATTTTTTGAGAAAAACATTGAGTATTTGTCTTATTATAAAGTTCTAAAAGAAAAAAAAGTTTTAGGCTCTCTTCACCCTTACCAATTTCCTTTCCAAAAACTCCTTTTGGTTTTGGTTTGGTTTTGGTTTTGGTTTGGTTTTGGTTTTGGTTTGGTTTTGGTTTTGGTTTGGTTTTGGTTTTGGTTTGGTTTTGGTTTTGGTTTGCTTTTAGACAGAGTCCCACCATGGAGCCCAGTTCAGCCACAAACATGCCACCCTCCTTAAACTTCCTAAATACTGGGGAGATAGGCATGTGCCACCCTGCATGGCTAAGTTTTTAAAAAATTAATTGTTCACGTCTTTTTTTTTTTGTCTTTTTTTTTTTTGTCTTTTTGAGACAGGGTCTCCCTGTAGCTCTAGCTGTCCTAGAACTCGCTATGTAGACCAGGCTGGCCTTGAACTCACAGAGATCCACTTGCCTCTGCCTCCCGAGTGCTGGGATTAAAGACATGCGCCACCACACCCGGCCCCATGTCTTATTTCTTAAAACTTTATGGAAATTACTAAATCTCTTTTCATATAGATATCCTGAATGCCTACTACAACAATTCTACCATGTACCATCCCAAAATATTTTGTTCATTATTTATATCCTTATAAATCCATTTTTATCTGGAGGACATTCACACTATAGAGGAGAAAACTCTAATGGTACTTCAGTAAATACAGATTAAGCGAACAAGATGAAGTTTATTCTTACTTTTTTGTTAATGATGTTGCAGAGTGATCACTAAGCAAAGTTCTTCTGTAAAGCAAAGCCATTTTAGAGTCATTTTTCGATCCATAATTATGCATTAGGATAGTTGATAAATTATAAACTAATAAGTATAAGGGGTATTCAAATCAATGTCCTTGAAGGCCAAGTGAAGGTAATCAGCATGTGGCGATAGATGGAATATTTTATCCTCTGAGGATTTAAAGCCAGTAAAAGCTGCTGACAGAACCTGAGGGACTGACTGTATAAAATATATCTTAGTTACATTGTACAGAGAGTAAAAATACGGCAGGCTCAAGGCATTGGCATATGCCTGGGTACCTTCCTCACATGCTGTTCTGTAGTAAAATGAAATACAGTGTTGCTTTAGAATTTTTTAAATTTTATTTATTAATATTATGTGTGAGAGGAGAGAAAGAGAGAGAGAGAGAGAGAGAGAGAGAGAGAGAGAGAGAAGATGTATAGCTGTCACAGTACATGTGTGGGTCCTGAGGAATGAACTCAGGTCAGGCTTGTACAACAAGTGCCTTTATCCACTGAGCCATCTCACCAATCGTGGTCTGGAATGTCTGATGTGCTTTTAGCTATATCATTGAATAAAATAAAATGTAAGGTTCTTCACTTACTATCACCCTTCTATATGCTTGGATTTCTAGCAACAAGTATCAATCCCCTATCACCTATTATCTCTGTTCTATAATATCTTCTCTCCATCTCAGCTCTTTATTTGCAGAAATACCAATATTGCACCCACTCCCATTCCCTCTTCTCTGACACCTGCCAATCATCTATTTTTATGTACTGAACTTTTACTCTAGAAAATGCTCAGTTTGTAAATACTCCTTAAATGACACCTAAGGACCCAGCTTACTTAGCAAAAAAAGATGGGAGAGGGAGGCAATGCTAATGATGATATGAACTGTTTCCTTTAGAGCTAACAGATGAGGTAGGCAGCACTAAGAAATGAAGATAAAACAATTCCAAACAGCAACACAAGACAGGAAGGACATGCATATTCAGAACAAGGTTTTAAAAGCAATAGCAAAGAGACCACTAAGAGTTTTGCACCAAGAATACCTCTAATAAACATTCTCAGGACTCCTCAGAATCACATACTCCAGTTAAAAAAAATTGTGTCACCAAGTGTGGTGGTGCACGCCTTAATTCCAGCACTCGGAAGGCAGAGGCAGGCAGATCTATGTGAGTTCAAGGCCAGCCTGGTCTACATAGTGAGTTCCAGGCCAGCTGGGGCTACAGAGAAACCCTATCTAAAAAAGACCAAAAAAAAAGTGTCAATGTTCAGTTGTTTTAAAATGATGACCTAAATAAAATGTAATATTCAGACATTGTCTTAACTCTAAAAGGTTAAACAGAGAAGAAGCATAGTGCCAAGTACACACCTGACTCGTGACACAAACCTCCTCTATGCAGCACTGTACAAACACTATACAGTACATGCTCATAGGTGGTGCGGTCACTTCATAACCACCTTGAATGGATATATGGGGTTTCAGTGATCTTGATGATTTACTTAATGACTACAATAAGAATTATTAATAACACTGAATGTGGTGGCACATGCCTTTGATCTCAGTACTCGGGAAGCAGAAGCAGGTAGATCTCTGTGAGTTCAAGGCCAGCCTGGTCTACATAGAAAGACCCAGGCCAGCTGGGGCTACAGGGAGACCCCGTCTCAAGAAAAATTATTAATAATGATTGGACTGTCTGAAGACAGTTCTGTGTTGTCTTGATCTTATCTCTAAAAAGAATATAGTAATGACTACAGTTTGATAAATAAATTTTACATCTATATCTGGATAACTTCTGATCAGTTCAAGCCATCTAAAAATATTTGGAGCCTTCATACTTTAAAATGCAACTTTCCAAGCTGTTATATGCTCAGTATACATATCAAAATTAACAGACACTGGGTACAGTGGTACATGCCTTTAGTCCCAGCTCTCAGGAGGCAGAGGCAGGTGGATTTCTGTGAGATCAAGGTCGGCCTGGTCTACTACATAGCAAGTTCAGGCCAGCTGGGGCTATGTGAAGACAATGTCTCAACAAAAAAAAAAAATTAACACAGGAGGACAAACCATTTAGAAAACATCTAACAACTAATCAGTCTTAACATTAGGAATGGGTCTCAATCACTGGTCCTACATGACACATGCCAGTCAATCAGTAATCTCTCTTAACCAACAATGCTTGGTGGAGGGGAGTACTGAAGGAAAATGTGAAAGTTTAAAAGGCTAAAAAGATACCATTTTTATCACAAGGAATCCAATCTGCCCTCTGGTTCAGACTCATCCATCACTAATTATTATCTGGTTCAAGGATCCAGTTATCCACAGTAACAGGATCTCCTTTGCAGCATCTTCACAAACAGCACTTCCTTAGCCTCTGACTGAACACTTCCAGAACAAGGAGCTCAGTACTTAAAAAAGTACTGTACTAAACCCAAAATACAGTTATAAATGGAAAGACCTGATAAAGTTTCAAATGTTCATCCCCCAATTAACAGTTCTAGAGAATCCATATTAACTTCATGATACTTACTTGTTTTAAAGACTTTACTTTTACTTTATTTTCAGTCACATGTGTATGTGCATGTGTCTATGTGTGGGAACGTGCATGTGAGTACATGTGCACACGGAGGCCAGAAGAAGGTGTTAGTTGCCATGGAGCTAGAGTTACAGGGGGTTATGAACCACCCAACATGGGTGCTTGGAACTGCACTTCAGTCCTCTGCAAGAGCAGAAAGCACTCTTAACTGCTAAGCCATCTTCCAGCCCTACCTGCTCATATTAAACAACTACATTTACTTGAAAGATGATATATGGAGGGCTAGGGCAATAGCTTAGTTCATGGAGTGCTTGCCTTGCAATTATGAAACCTAAATTCAATCCCCAGAACCTATGTTTTAAAAAAGAAAGAAAGGAGGGAGAGAGGGAGGGAGGGAGGAAGGGAGGGGACAGGGGGAAGGGAGGGGAGGGGAGGGAAAGGGAAGGGAATGGAAAAGAGAAGAAAAGAAAAGAAGCAAGCAAGCAATTCAGGCATGGTGGCATGCACTTGTAATCTTAACACTGGGGAAGCAAAGACAGGTGGATCTGTTGGGCTTGCTGTCCAGCTAGCTTATCCTACTTCATGAGTTCCAGACTAGCGAGAGACCTGTCCCAAAATAAAAGTGAAATAGACTGGGCATGGTTATGCACGTCTTTGATCCCAGCATTCGGGAGGCAGAGGCATGTGGATCTCTGTGAGTTCAAAGCCAGCTTGGCCCACATAGCAAGTTCCAGGCCAGTCATAGCTGCATAGCAATACCCTGTCTCAAAATA